GGGAGGCCCTCTTTTATAGAACAAAACAAGGGCCTAAGCTTCTTGGAGAAGCTAAGACAAAGGGGTCAAGCTTCCTCAAGAAGCTAGAACAAAGGTTCAAGCTTCTTGGGGAAGCTAAGACAAAGGGGTCAAGCTTCTTGAGGAAGCTAGAGCAAAGGGTTCAAGCTTCCTCAAGAAGCTAGAGCAAAAGGGTGCAAAGGGTGCAAATCCTCCATACACGTGTATGGAGGACAGGTATGCGTGCTCCAGCTGGCATAGCTGGCATGCACAATGCCTAAAAAAAGGAAAAAAAGAAGTCTCTGCCAGAAAATATGGCCGATTGACCAAACAAACGGCCGACCGACCAAAAACAATGCCGACCAGCCATCATCAATGGCCGGTAGCAACAAAACAGGGCCGGTGGCCTCAAGCCAAGGCCGGTGAGGTGTGTAGATGACCAACAAGCTATTCTCTGCCCTCAGAAGCAAAAACAAACAAGTTCTTGGTCCACAACCAAGCACGGTACAGGCAAGTTAAGAGATCCTTAGGCAAGGCGCGCGGCCGAGACCTTCGGAAACTCAAAACGAACACGAACATGGATGATCATCGAGTGTTCAGATAATGACGTCCAAGTCCTGAGGACGGTAAAAAATGGGGTGTCTACAGTTCCTGATTTGGGAGTTAAAGCCGGATTTCACTCTAGGCAAACTAGTTCCTTAAGAAACTTGAATTCGAGGAGTTGACGCCCCAAAATCACCAAATGGCGTCGGATTAACACGAAACTTGGCACACACGACCGCCTAATCATGAGAGACTTGTGGGAGAAGACGGGACTCGAATCGAGTTCCTGGTTTGGGAGTTAGAGCCGGATTTCAGTCAAGGCAAACTAGTTTTTTAAAAAACTTAGAATTCGATATGTTGACGCCCAAAAATCACCAAATGGTGTTGAATTAGCACAAAACGTGGCACACACGACCGCCTAGGCACGAGATACTTATGGGAGAAGATGGAACTCGAATCGGGTTCCCAGTTTGGGAGTTAGAGCAGGATTTCACTCTAGGCAAACTAGTTCCTTAAAAAACTTGAATTTGAGGTGTTGACGCCCCAAAATCACCAAACGACGTCGGATTAACACGAAACTTGGCACACACGACCGCCTAGTCACGAGAGACTTGTGGGAGAAGACGGGACTCGAATCGGGTTCCCGGTTTGGGAGTTAGAGCCGGATTTCGATCAAGGCAAACTAGTTCTTTAAGAAACTTAGAATTCGAGGTGTTGACGCCCAAAAATCACCAAATGGTGTCAGATTAGCACGAAACTTGGCACACACGACCGCCTAGGCACGAGAGACTTGTGGGAGAAGACGTGACTCGAATCGGGTTCCCGGTTTGGGAGTTAGAGCTGGATTTCACTCTAGGCAAACTAGTTCCTTAAGAAACTTGAATTCGAGGTGTTGACATCCCAAAATCACAAACGGCGTCGGATTAGCACATAATTTGGCACACACGATCGCCTAGGCACGAGAGACTTGTGGGAGAAGACGGGACTCGAATCCGGTTCTCGGTTTTAGGGGTGCTCGAGGATTGATTTTGTGCGGTTTGCGGTTCGATTTTGACCCGCCCGCACTATGCGGTTTGGGAAAAAGTCAACCCGCAACCGCCTGCAGTGCGGTTTGCGGTTTGTGAGGATAGGGTTTGCAGATGTGCGGGCGGTTGCGGGCGGTTTGCGATTTACACTTTTTTCTTTAAAAATTAATTTTTGAGTTTTTTTTTTCCCTATCAAATTTAGGCATCAGATTCATTTTATATATTTGTGATCATTTGACAACAATTTTCTGATGAGTTTACAAATAAAAATTGAATATCAATGCATTAAATGAAAGTACCCAAAACAAAGAGACCCTATACTAGCATTTTTGCCATGAAAAAAAAAGTATATCAATGCATTAAAAAATGTATATCAATGCATTAGAGGTTGTACTCAATTAGAATTGCCAGTTCAGTAATCAATAATCAAACTAGAAGTTCCATCGACCACCAGAAGGAAAATTTTATTAGGAAAAAGTGGATCAGTCACCAATGAAAATCATATAAGAAACCAAGTTTAGGACTTGATAATTCTACGACAATAAGAAAATTGAAAAATACTTAAAAATAAGGATCCTAGTGTCATAGAGAACATAATGGTGCTCCAGTTAAAGTTACAAAGTTGGTATATAAAAAATAATAATAATTAAAGTACGGGCGGTTTTGCGGGTTGTGGGTTTCACCCGCAACCCGCAAATTTGTCATATTTCAAACCGCATCCGCCCGCATTATGTTTGTGAAACTGCCCATTTATATACGGGTTGGGCGGATTGGGCGGTTTGAGCGGTTCAGATAAACCGTTGCCTACCCCACCCCTACCCGGTTTTGGAGTTAGAGCCGGATTTCACTCTAGGCAAACTAGTTTCTTAAGAAACTTGAATTCGAGGTGTTGAAGCCCCAAAATCACAAAATGGCATCGGATTAGGGCAAAACTTGGCACACACGACCGCCTAGGCACAAGAGACTTGTGGGAAAAGACGAGACTTGAATTGGGTTCCTGGTTTGGGAGTTAGAGCCGGATTTCACTTTAGGCAAATTAGTTCTTTAAGAAACTTGAATTCGAGGTGTTGACGCCCCAAAATCACCAAACGGCGTCGGATTGGCACAAAACTTGGCACACACGGCTGCCTAGGCATGAGAGACTTGTGGGAGAAGACGGGACTCGAATTGGGTTCCCAATTTGAGAGTTAGAGCCGGATTTCTGTCTAGCCAAAATTATTTACTTAATTATCTTTGTTATTATACAGTAGTTAAATTTTTATGCTTTTTTGTAATTAACATATTAACACATAATTTTATTGTCATTAATTATTTTTATCTTTTGTTTTCAGATATTTCCCGATGAGGAGTTTGCTTCTTGTGGAATGCATGCCTGTGAAGAATGCGGCTAACTTTTTTTTTTGTTACTCACGAAGAATGATGAGGAAAACTTTTGCTTTTGATTTATTTTATTTTTGAATTGTGAACAACATTATGTATTTAAACATTATATATGTATTATGAAACATTATGTAGTGGGGTAATTTTGCTGATGTGTAGTTATGAATGCGAGAATATTTTTATTATAGAGAAATTGTTATTTTTATACATGAATTTTTATATTATTATGCAATTATTGGTTTGTTTTTCAATTGTTTTTCATTTAATACAGGTAATTTTAATTTTTTTTTTTTTTTTGCGACGGCACCACACCGTCTCAAAAAACATTAGAACCAAAAATGTATTTTTTTTTGCGACGTAGGCATTGTCGTCGCAAAAGAAATTGGCGACAGCACATATTCTGTCACAATAAAAAAAACTTTTTGCGACGGTATTTTTTGCCGTCTCAAATAATGCTTTTAGTGACAGCATGTATACCGTCGCAATAAAAAACTTTCGCGACAACATTTTTTGCTATCTCAAATAACACTTTTAGCGACGGTAAAGCAATGCCGTCACAAAAGGCCTCAATTTTTTACATATTATAGGTGATAGTAAAATGTCGTCACAAAGGGCAACATTTGCCATCTCAAAAAAAAATGTCGTCGCTAAAACATTTTAGCAACGTCCTCTATTGTGACTCCCCGTTTGCCGTCGCCAAAAGTCATTTACCGTCGCTAAAACTTTTTTGAGACGACATTATGAGTATTTGCGACGGCAAAATGCCGTCACAAAAAAACTGGAATTTTTGTAGTAAATGTAGCTTCTACAGGAGAATAGGCATACACCCCTAGCTCAGGGGTTATGCCTCACGCTGATGAGACTCCGGAGGAATTTCATACCCCACATGATGCTGAATTTCATGATGATGCTGATTTGGAGGTGGTTCATCCTTCTAATTTAAACAAAAAACGTCCATCAAACACTGATGGTTCATCAAACAAAGGCAAGGCAAAGAAGAAAGTTTCTACTGCAGTTTTACTTAACAAGACACTTGATCGTATAGTCAATGTGGTTGAGTCATCTTCAGCAACTTCAACACAAACCTCATCAAGATATCTATCAATTGCAGAATGTTTGGCGAAGTTGGAAAGCATCCTTGCTATGTCCCCAAATGATGAGCTGTATGTATGGACTGCCAGATTGTTCTTACAAGAAATTGCACTTTTGGCGACTACTTTTGGCGACGACGTCAATTTTTCATCGCTAAAAGTATATTTTTGGCGACACAGTGATCAATTTCGTTGGTAAAAGTATACCTTTACCGACGCAACTTGTTGTCGTCGCTAAAAAGGCATAACATTATTTTAGCGCCAATTTTTTTGGTTGGCGCCAAAATTTCAAAACTTTTATCTACGAGGCTTATGTTTTAGCAACACAATGAGCGTTGCTATTAGTGTGCTTACTTTTGGCGACGACAAGTTGGCGTAGGTAAAGAGTTAACCATTTAGCGACGATGACACTATTCGTCGGTAAACATTTTGCTAGTGGAATGATGTGATTTAGTGATTTGTGTTTTTTATTATAATTTTTGAAAGAGTTTTAAATATTTTAGTTACTTAATTGTAAAATTAAAATGATCATTGAATTAGATCACAAAATGAACCCATTAAAGACAGTTTTAAGTTGAGATGACTAATTTGAGATAATTTAAATTTTTTCAAAGAATATGATTAGATTATCAATTTCAATATGTTTGTTTTTATTTTCAGGAACTAGTTTCAAAAAAAATTTTCCTAAAAAACTAAAAACAAATTGGGTGAACAAAAAAATACTTATTATTTTTATATATTTTTATCTTTTAGGTCATAAATACTTTTTAAAATTTTAAAAATATAATTTTCAACCACAACAATGGCGTCTCTCACGCCTGGCATCCTCTCCAAACTTCTCCAAAATCTTAGCAACACTGTCGCCGGAGGGTATCGACAAGAAAGTGGGTGTGAAAGGAGAGATTGAGGGTTCGGGAAAAGATGGGTTAGAGAGAGAGAGAGTCTGCCTTCTCACTAGAAATTGCCTAAATTTCTAGGGTTTTCTCATTCAATATTTCGTTGATAATGGCTGATCTCACATCTGATTTACGCAATTTGGCTACGATGGCTGATGGGTTAGTGACTGAAGGTTCTCCTTCGCCTAAGGGGAGTTCGCACATCGTGAAAGATTTACTGTTGGAGAGGGATTTGTTAACATTGATGGACATCGTGAAGCGAAATGGGGGTAAAAATCAGTCTTCTGCCTCTGAGATCGTTTTGGGTATGAGCCCTAGGGCTTCAATTGGGGTTCAGTCCGAGGTCCCAACTCCTAGTTCCTTTGTCGAAGCTATGGGTGGTCTCTGTTTCGAGATCCGAGACCTTGCTCAGCAACAAAAGCTTTGTTTTGGGGGAGAAGTGGCGTCGAGCCCTGCCGTTGTTCATTCGCAGGTATGGCTAAGGATTTATGGGTCAATTACTTGGGCTGTTTGAAATGCCTGATCATTAGATTTTTCTTAACTAATTCATGCATTGAATCAATTTTACAGCACTGCTACAAATGTTGAGATTGAGTTGCCTGTTCCAGCCGATGCTAACAACCCAAATGTTTGGACATCATTGGGATCTGCTTCATATGCACCAGAAAATGATGCTTTGATCTGGAAAATTAAATCTTTTCCTGGTGGTAAGGTGAGAGTTTACCTCAATTTTTTCTCAGTGTATTGTTTGCTAGTAATTTCTTGTTCATGGCTATTGGTTATGTGGGGCTACAGTATCTTTTCCACTTGCAATTTTGACATGGAATTTTGACACTCTTTGCAAATTCAATTTAGGAATATATGCTTAGAGCGGAGTATACTCTTCCCAGTATAACATCTGAAGACGCAGCTCCTGAGAGAAAAGCTTCTATACGTGTGAAGTTTGAGATACCATATTTTGTTGTTTCAGGAATCCAGGTTTCCCTTCTCAAATACAATTTTTTTTTATTTTAATTTTTTATTGAATAGAAAATTCAGATATTGTTGCATGTATATCTGCAATGCTTCATTCTTTCTGTGTTTGCTGTGTTTGCGTCTTTTTTTTCATTTTTTTTAATCTATCTAGACAAAGGTGGAATGGATAAAACCAAACCTTGTGTTCCAATCAGGAATGATAAACCAAAACCAAACCAAACTTTGTGTTCCAATCAAGTGGGAGGATTCATACTTGATATGGTTGAACACTCAAATCTGATGCAGGATATCACTCCCTGTTACGTGCATGTAGCCATGCACCTACCATTACTGCCCTGCTCTCCTTGATCAAATCAACAAATATAAAAAAAATAAATAATAAAAAAAAAAAGGTTGGTTGTTGGACTGAAAATACTATTTCACTCACTTCCCAGGATTACATGATACATAAATCTGCATTTTGTATGACTCTTATTTGGGTTTCATTATGCCCTGAAATGCTTGTCCTCCCAACAGAGGTCATGAATGACTGTGAACGGCTGTTCCTCTGTAACTACCTATTCCAATATTACTTTCTTTTGACTCTGCATTAAAAGGGCCAACTTGCTTTTTAAATTCACAGATGTGGATACAAAAAAAGGCCAAACTACTCTCTGTCTGTCTCAGCCATTTTGGCACTGTAATTTGTCATTAGCCATTGACAGAAGCTGTGCTTGTTGAAGTGGTATTCCTGCTCCTGCACTGTGTTTCCTTTTAGAATAGAATAGCATGTTGAACTTCTTAGAGATGTGGTTTTCCACAGATGTTAGTGATTAAGCATGATTGAACCTATGTATTATAATTATTCTGATTCTTGCTTGCTGCTTTCTACTGCTGGGATGTGAAACTTCTAAACCTTAAGCGAAGGGGTTGATGCCTACTTGCCCTAGTTCTGGTCTTGTTCTTGTTCTGAGGAGTGAACAGTGCCACTGGTTTTAACTTTGAAATTTATTTTATTTTATTCAAGTTGGTTGGGGAAACTGCTTTGGTGACTCTTCATGATGATGTATTCCTGTTGTTTGGTTCTTCTAGATGCTCAGTTTGGTTCTGAACGTAACGTAACAACCATAATAAAATAATATCCTTTATTTATGTAAATGTTGTGTTTTGTAGGTTCGTTACCTAAAGATTATCGAGAAAAGCGCCTACCAGGCTCTTCCATGTGTGAGATACATAACCATGGCCGGCGAGTGTGAACTAAGACTTATGTGAAAATCTACTTCCACCTGTTGGTGTTCTCAATCTCTACAAACTCGCATGATTTTGCACTTTCGTGGGCAAAATGAGCCTATAGGAGAGTTAAATTGCCCCTATCCAGACAAATAGCTAATTGAGCAAATTCTTGTGCGTCCGTTTTCTTTGTTGAAGTCATTGTTGATTATCAACCAGAGGTTTGTAGAAGTTGATGTTTACTAGCAAAGTTTATTCATACACTTTTGAAAATCAAGTTAACTTTTGTGAATTAAAGTTTGTTTGTTCGTGATATTTTTTTGAACTCGTCCGCTTTTTATGTTTTTATTATTAATTCAAAAAACTGAAGGTATATGCATCAGCACAAGATGATTGTCATGGCAATTTATGTATGATAGAAAAGCCTTGTTCTTGTGATGTCAGAGCTTCATGTGTTCACTTACATGATCATCTGACGTCCACTTGCATTACAACCTAAACTGATTGATGTGCTCTTTGACATCAAGGCATTAATCTTTCCTTTGGCAGGTACGCATCTTTTCGACCCGAATATGCCTACCCACAGGTCAGTAAATTCAAATCTCACCTGCTAATGGGTATTTTGGTACTCTAGTTAGTTCTTGAAAGGAATATGTGCACAATCGTGATGTGTTCTGTCTAATTTTTCAGGGTGTCTACAATCCTTACATGGGTCAGCATTACCTTCAAATATATGGCGTACCAAGCACAGTTAACACAAATATTGTCCCATATGGACAAATGGGTCATCCTCTCTCTGGCAACCATGGGTATCCAACCATTCAAGGCTATGTGACACCAAGTCATCATGTTAATGGGTATTTTGGTACTCCAGTTAGTTCTGGAAAGGAATATGTGCACAATCGTGATGTGTTCTGTCTATTTTTTCAGGGTGTCTACAATCCTCACATGGGTCAGCATTACCTTCAAATATATGGCGTACCAAGCACAGTTAACACAAATATTGTCCCATATGGACAAATGGGCCATCCTCTCTCTGGCAACCATGGGTATCCAACCATTCAGGGCTATGTGACACCAGGTCGTCATGTTCTGCAATATGGGGGACCCCTCGTTAATGGAGTAACTACAGACACTATTACCATAACTCAAACACAATACCTTGCAGGTAACTCTCTCTCTCTCTCTCTCTCTCTTTCTCTCTCTCTCTCTCTCTCTCTATGCTTTGAGCTGGGAAATGAGTGTGAAAATGATGCATACCAGATTTGGCATATAGCCAAAAAAATTATCAACCTGGAGTTGCTACTAGAATTTTGTTAACAATACATATTTGCGTATGTGCATACGCCTAAGTATATAAATGTCCATCCATGTTACACACAGACATGCAATTCTAGAAGCATTACAGTTTTGATTGTCAATACAATGATCATTAAGTAGAGACCAATTCATTCTTGCACAGATCCAGGATCATGTGAGATGCTTAGGATCAATAAAGATGTGTGATTATGGCTAAACTGAAGGTAGCTTGATGAGGCATCCTTCTGGCTGCTGTATGGCTGATCTAGCAAGTTTTTTTCTTCTTTTTCTTCTTAGAAGTTTCTAACCAACCAAACAACTTTTGGTTAATACCTTCCTATATGATGTTTAGCTCCTGGCAGGAGCTATTGTTGAACTAAAGGGGTTAAAAAAAAAGAAAATGTTATTTCAAATCTGCCTCCTTAGAAGAACATATTGATGAAGAAGATATTCTCTAAGCAATACTATATCCTATAATAAGGTTATTTATGTGATGGTTGGCACTGCTTTAAGGGTGAAGTTTTAGGAATTGTTGGTTTGATTATGCTCCTCAAAGTTGTTACTCTGACCTTGTAAGGATTGGTTAGGACAGAGATGTTAGTGGCTAATATTGTCAGTATTAGTAAAGTGATTGTTCTCTTGTCAGTATTGGAGCTTGAGGATTTGTTTGAATATTTGCATCCCCAATAGCCAATATGAACAACAATGCCTTTCATCTTGGCTAATTGTATTCTTAAGTATCTTGAATTAGATGTCTACTAAGCGAAGTTATCTCCCAACAGCAAAATAATAATAATAATAATAATAATAATAATAATAATAATAATCTAAGAACTACTTTGATTGCTATTTTTTTTTAGTATCCTGAACTACAGGCATCTGCAATGCTTGCTTTATGTTGATTTATGATTATTGATGCAGATTTTTGGTAAAATTTCTCTCCCTCCCTCCCCCCATCTCTTTGTGTTTGTGTGTAACAGAAAATGACATCTAATTTCAATTGGTTTCCAGTGATGCAAATCTCCAACTTCTCTTCACTGTTGGGGAGAACGCAAATTTCTAGCTTGAAAATGATATTGGATTTCTATCAGGTTTTTTGCTCATACCTTTCAGTAGATGTTTCGTGTAAATAGTGAATTGTGCATATTTGCTGGCTGCATACAGGTATTTTCACAGGACAAATCCATTTATGAAGCTGTGGAGAATGCATTCATCACAATATATGTAAGGAAGATTCCAGTAGAAACTGCTAAAAACCTTTTACATTTTGCTATAGATTCAAACATTGGTGATCTTGCAGCTCTGAAGTTTATAGTTGGTGCCTTGGTATCCAAAGGTGATATAACTACAAGCACGGTATGCTTCTCTCCTCGTCTTTCAATAATCTTTTACAAATCGTAAGTTAGTTGAAATCTTTTGGTTGAGCTATTTTTGATGATATTCATAGGTGGACAAAGAACTACATTTTTGTCAATCTAGCTCTTGCCAAGATTGAGCTAGGGTTGCAATTGACCTGAGTTGAACCAAACATTTGGCAGTTTGAGCTCAGCATGAAACAGTTGGGTTGAGCCATACTATCTTTTATTTCCTTTCAATTTGAACCCTTTCCGAGGTATGCTACGGATATATGCTATATCCTTTTGTTTTATCTTTCTGCTGAAAAATCTACAATTTTGTCATTGATATGCAAATTGAAAAATAATGATGTTAAATAAAAGGATAAAAATGATTTATACCATTGTAAAACTTAAATTAGTAGATATCGGACAAATATGTTGTTTACATATATGCTTTTCTGATTTTGAATGATCTGTCATGCTTTAAGGCTTTTGCCTTTTCAAAATTGGTGAGGAGAGTGCATCACATATTTATTTAGTTCATTTTTAGTCACAACAAAGTTTTTATATCATTATAAATACATGACTCCCCAGTTATTTTCAAGCGTATCCACTGAAGATTCGGAGAAATGAGGTAAAAATTGAAATCTATTACTTACATGCTTGAATTAAGTATTGTTTCTTGCATTGTTTCATTTATCATCTGGGATTTTTTTGTTTTGCAGGTCTTGATAGATATAGATCACTGCTATTGTGTAATTCTAAATGCAGATGGTGGGCAGCATTTCCTAGTGAAAAGACTGCACAAGATTGCAGTTCTAGTGATATTTTTTCTTTGAAAATCAACACTGGTTCTGGAAAGACAGAGAAGACAAATGTTTGATGTATTCATTAGTTTATGCGAAGAATACTAGTATTTGTTTCATGATTTGCTTGAGTTTCTGATTTTTTTTTTTTTTGGTTGTTGTTGTTTTTCTTCGTTATCCCTAATGTGAAATAATGTTCTTAATTATGAGCTGAATAATTGTATTGTGTTTCTATCCAGTTGCTCACCTAGGGATGTGCTATTGTTGTCTTAAGAAATCATGACTATATGTCGTGCTAGACGAAGTATATTGTGGCTATGTGCTATTTGTTGTTCTTCACACCATAGTTTGAGTAGCAGTTGTCTCCAACTATATCTATATATCTCAGGAGTGATAGTTTTGTTTACTTTACATTCCTTAACTTATCCAGGGTTGAGCCTACAACTTTATCTTAGTATTTCTATTATTTATTGTGTATGTTTTTCAGTTGCCACTTTGCTGCTGATGAACAATCACTAAACTAGTGTTTTAATTCTTAAAAATTGATGGGATTTTGCTTATATATTATATATAAGGGTCAGAATTTCATTTCAATACATTATTTTAGTTAGCTTGGAAATAGAAACATGAGGAAAACATAAAAAAAATGTTTGTAAACAAAAACCAAAACCTACCTTAATGGATAATTGAACATGGCTACACTAAACAAGGTTTACGAATTGCACACACACACACACACACACACATATGTATATATAAAAGAAGAAGAATAAACATAGACAACAAGAGGGTGATATGCACAGTCTTATGCGTAATTGTTTACGATCTAAAACTAAAGCAGATGAGAGAGGTTGAAGAATAAAAAACTAAAGCAGTCGCCTACTTGAATATAAAACTCAAGTAAAGCAAAGTGACTATTTCCATGTTCTGCTCTTGCCATAAGAATTATTGACACAGCTTCAACAAGGAGGGACAACAAATATATATATATATATATATATTGTAAGCAAATAAATAAAAAGAAGACCCAACCCTATACACTAAATCTATAGATTCTATATTGAGGTTGTGGTACTACTTGAGGAACTTGGACACCATGCTCCATTCCAAGGCCCTGCTGTAAGTGTGAGCCTTGTGCACTGGGTATAACCTTTTTTGTCTGGATTGCACTCTCCTCTTGTTGGTTTAGCATTAGGCATGGCTGGCTGAGATGCAAATTAGCAGCCTCTTGATAAATATTTTGGTCAAAGATAAAACTTGAAAATCTGAAATCTTAACTTTTGTCAAGTGTTTTCATAAAATGCTAATTGATTACACCCCCAAACACATAACACACAATTTCTTCCTCATTTAAGAGAGTGGAGGGCTTTGGTTTGTTCTAAAGTAATAGCATCTTAATGGGTTGGTAGTTTGTGATTGCAGAGTTCTTGCCCAAGTTGCATACTTTGGTTCTCACTAACAATCAACTAACGAATTTGGTTGAGATTGATCCTCTTGCATCACTCCCTAAGCTACAGTTTCTTAGTCTTCTTGATAATAATATCACTAAATGCTTTCAATTTTAAGTGATCATGGTTAGAGCACAGGATCCATTTCACAAGAGCTGACTTGAGATACCTCTAAATGAACGATCAGGCACAAAAATTTTGGCATGATCAAGCAACTCAGATTATATGTTGTGTTTTGTAGGTTCATTACCTAAAGATTATCGAGAAAAGCGGCTACCAGGCTCTTCCATGTGTGAGATACATAACCATGGCCGGCGAGTATGAACTAAGACTTATGTGAAAATCTACTTCCACCTATTGGTGTTCTCAATCTCTACAAACTCGCATGATTTTGCACTTTCGTGGGCAAAATGAGCCTATAGGAGAGTTAAATTGCCCCTATCCAGACAAATAGCTAATTGAGCAAATTCTTGTGCGTCCGTTTTCTTTGTTGAAGTCATTGTTGATTATCAACCAGAGGTTTGTACAAGTTGATGTTTACTAGCAAAGTTTATTCATACACTTGTGAAAATCAAGTTAACTTTTACTGCAAAACAGCATCAGCTGTCTCTCCTAAAGTTTGTGCTGACTAAAAGGCATTCTACTGGTGGTCTTTTATTTCTTTGTAGTTGAGGTAATAATGCCATTGTCGTATATCTATTATAGATGTAGTGTAATAAGTTGCTTGTTGCTTTGATAATTGTTTCAGATATGTTGAAAATTTGCTGCCGAAGTCTGGATACGACTTGTATTGCTCATCAATAAATTGCTTAGATGATGTTATTGTTAATGTCTACTTTTCTTTTTTAAATTGCAGCAAAATTAAAATGGTAATAGAGCTTCTTGGGGGCATTCATTTTGTTTCTTCTGTGGAGGCCATTTCTCTTGGTGCCCAAGCTGGTATTCATCCATGGATAATTTATGACATTATTTCTAATGCTGCTGGAAATTCATGGTAAATTATTGTTCACAATTCTTTACTGAGGATTATGTTGTGTGTTTAAAATTTAAATATTTCTAGTCCTGAAGCATTCCTTATAAGCATTCTGATCTGAAATTGCCAATTCTAGATCAGGCACAACCTTGATAGATGAGACTGCTAATAATCTGATTTGCACCATGGGCACCAGTTGAGACCATGGCACTGATTGGCACTTTCTGTTTCTGACAATGAACTGATTTTGTAGAACCTATGCCTTTAAAGAAATTAGCTGCAAAATTTATTGAACACTGAAAGCCCTTGTTGTTATGTGCTTACATGTATACACATACATGGGAACATCTGTTTACTTTCAAAGATCTGTGCATTTTTATACTAACTCAATAGGTATTCAAGGCTTTGGTGGTTGGTGTTGGTATATGTAAATGCCGTAGTTAGTTTTTTTTTTCATGACATTCCTGGAATTTGCTAGCGTTTTCTTAAGCAGATACTGTGTTACCTTGCTACTAGACATCCTTCCGTTGGATTCAATTTTACAGGGTTTTCAAGAATCATGTTCCCCAGTTGCTAAGGGATAATCAAACCAAACATCTCCTGAATACTTTGTTCAAAATTTGGTAAGTCTTCTCATGTTGTAAGTTTCTTAGTGTTGTTCAAGTGTATTATGAGTAATTTCTTTTCTTCTTGACTTTGAAGTTAAGTTCAATGGGGATTTTGGGTGAATTAAATGCTAACTGCATTTTTATAATTCCATTCAAATTATGCTTCCTTTCTTGTGGTGGATTTAGCATTTAGGACATTTACTTGAGGACCATCTGCTAAATGCATACTAAAATTTTAGACTTGAACACCACTCGGTAATCATTTCTTCATCAATGAATTTGGACACATTGAGACTTTCAATAATGATTTTTGAGATATTGATACTGTAAGGTAGACCTCAATTCAGAATCACATTCTTAAATGGGTCTCTTATCCACTTATTTTTTTAAGAACTCATTATTGATAAAATAAAGTAATGTACGAAATAAGTTCACATTAAGAAAACTTATGTTTTTATGAAGTAGAAAATAGAAAAGACTTATTTGGCTAGGCATTGAAGTGTAGAAGTGCTAATGTGAGAAAAAAATAAGCTGGTTATCTTAAATACTAAAATCCTATTCAGCTTAGTCACTTTATTGGAAAGACCTTAAGTGGACAGCTTTGTCATTCTAATCTAAACAAATTCTTGTTCAAATCTTTGAACTCTTATTCAATAGAGATCTCTTTGTGAACTGCAAAGCTAAAACTAAACCAAACCAAACTAAGCCTTGTGTCCCCAATCAAGTGGCGTCAGTTACATGAATCATTTTCCTCTATTTCGCTCTATCAAGGGCTGGATGAGTCAATTATGCCTGATGGGTTTTTGTCCAACTTGAAGGGTATTGTTTTGGATATGGCCAAATCATGTACATTTCCTCTTCCACTTCTGGCAGTTGCTTTTCAACATCTAATAGCAGGTATGTATCTGCATGATTTACAGTTTCTCACAACCATAATCTGTAGGTGGCAACTATTAATGTTTTGGAGCAACCTGATACTCACTTTGTTAATTTCCAATTGTCCTTTCACAGGCTCCTCTCATGGTCATGGAAATGATGGTAATGACACATTGATCAAGGTTGTTCTCATGAACTAATTTCTTTTATATAAAAGTTATATTATGTGGCTTTTTTACTTGCTTTGAGGTTATGTAAATATTAACATGCCATTTGCTAAGTAGACACACCTGTTCTTGCACAGGCTTGGGAGAAAGTATATGGGGTGAACATTACCAATGCTGTCAATATGGTACAAACTTATTTATGAAAAAAAATATTAATAAAATGTCATTCCGAGTCAAGTCTGCTGCATCAGATGGTCAATTAGGTATCATATATTACACTGCAGAACAGCATCTGCTGTCTCTCCTAAAGTTTGTGCTGACTAAAAGGCATTCTACTGGTAGTCTTTTATTTCCTTGTAGTTGAGGTAATAATGCCATTGTTGTATATCTATTATAGATGTAGTGTAATAAGTTGCTTGTTGCTTTGATAATCTTTTCAGATATGTTGAAAATTTGCTGCCGAAGTCTGGATACGACTTGTATTGCTCATCAATAAATTGCATCTCTAGATTATGCTGGTCCATTTTCTCTTAGAAGTGGGAGTTGTTTCCTGACTAGAGATAACTATATATCAGTTATAGAATAAATAGAAAACTTATGTTTTGTAAAATTTACCCAAATCTATATGTCGTTTTCAATCTATAAGTTTAGTAAAAACATATAAGATTTACCCAAATCTATAAGTTATTTTTTTTATAACCTTTTTTATAAGTTTAGTAAAAGAAAAAAAATTAAAAAATAGGGTGGCTTCAACCAGATCATCATTTATTATGAATGAAAAATGAAGTACAATTCAGAAATTGAAATAGTTTCACAAACACACAACCAAATCGATTTCAATTAACCCATTGTGGTATACTTGAATTGAGTGTTTTTATATAACTTACTCTCCTAGTGTAAACATGACAGCCAGTGAATTAGTTTGAATTTTTACTTAACTTAACTTCTGTTAACCTGATGGCTTAAAAGTTACCAAGAATTGTATAGTTTTGAGGGCTGTTTGAACAATTGATGCAGCTTGTTTGGTGGATACTTTTGTGGCATGATACTGTGTTGCGTTGAATCTGGTGCTGATTGGCTCTGTTCTGTGTGTTCTGCCTCTGATGCAGCTTTTGATTGATGCGATCTGTTTGTCCTGATTTCTGATTTGGTTGAGTTGTTTTGTTGCTGGTTTTGTTTGATTTGTTTTCTGACTGTTTTAGTAAATGAGGTAAACTGCTGCATCAATTCTAATTTGGTTATATGATTTTGTTTGGGTTGCCAAGTTGAAATGGTTTTCTGAACTGGTGATGATCTGTGTTGAATCAATTTGCTGATCTGCTATTCTTCTGGTGCTGCTGTGATGTTGCTGTTGTTGCTGAGATGCTGTGGTGATGTTGCTGTGATGGTGTTTGTTACGATAAGGTGCTGCTGTGTTGTTGTTGGATGTTTGCTGGTGTTGCTGGTGTTGTTGATGTTTGGAAGGGTGCATGCCTTTTTGTCCAATCTGTAATAGATCAGGTTTTCATTAATGGGGGTTGTCATTAGGTGTAAGTTCGGGCAACTGCTGGTGTTTTGGCTGGAAGGGTATGGAGGGGGTATTTTGTGTGATTTCATATCCATGTTATTAGTTTGTTATAGTGGTGCCTGAGGGATGCCTCTTGTAAATCTGTAAATTTTTTAAAAAATTATAAATGAGTTTCAATTATTTTTGCCGTTGCAAATTTGTCGTTGTTAAAAAGTGAAGCTTTCTCGACAAATAACTAGTCGGTAAATGTGTAGCTAAAAGTTTATTTTTTCCTACTCATATTGTATTGCTAAAAGTGTATTTTTTGCCGATGCCAATTTGTCGTTGCCAAAACTAAAGCTTTATCGACAACCAAATCGTTGGCAAATGGCAACATTTACCGATGTAAATGTGTCGCTAAAAGTTACTTTTCCCCACTCATATTGTGTTGGTAGAAGTGTATTTTTTGCCAATGCCAATTTGTCGTTGCCAAAAGTAAAGCTTTAGCGACAAACAAATCGTCGGCAAATGGCAACATTTGCCGACATAAATGTGTCGCCAAAAGTTTACTTTTGCCAACGCATATGTTGTTGCTAAAAGTATATTTTTTGCCCATGCAAATTTGTGTCGCGAAAAGTGCCACACAATCATCATATTTGAATGACTTTTACCAACGCAAGGTAAATTGCCGACGATGGATGGAGGCTTTTAGCGACGACTATGTTCGTCGCTAAAGGCATTACTTTTACCAACGCAATCATAATTTCGTCGGCAAAAACTTTTGCCAACTCACTTTTGCCTACGGGTTGCCAACGTAGCTTTGTGTGTCGGCAAAACTCTTTGCCAACGAATTTTCCTTTTTAGCAACATATTTTGTTGCGTTACGAAAAATGCAATTTCTTGTAGTGTTAAGAGACAAGCGTCATGCGTGCTTTATGACACTTCCTACGGATGAAGTTCGGCTGAGGTTTCTGAAGTTGGAGATTGAGATGGAGAAAACTAGCACAGGTTATCGCGGCTAATTATTTCTGGATGTATAGCAGTCTTATTATTCATACTGCATTTTATTATTATTTCATGTTTAAGATTTTTATTAGGACTTTTATTATTAATGGTGGTCTGTTATGTTAGACTCATTATTTGGACACTTATTAATATTACGTATGAGTATGTTGGACTTTTATTAATATTATGTATGAGTATGTTGGACTTTTATTATGTTGGACTTTGTTAGTTGAATGGTTGAGTAGTAGGTGGCATTTATTTGAATGGTTGTGCTGGATATTGCAATTTTTATTAGGTGGGTGTCATTGTTAGTTGAATGGTAAGTGAATGGTTGAGTAGTTAGTAGGTGGCATTCATTTTTAATAGTAAGATTTCATTGTTACTATTCTCAGATGCAATTGTTATTAGGTGGTTGTCATTTGAATGGTAGGTGGCATTTATTTGAATCTTGAAGATGAATGGTAGGTGGCTTTAAGTATATATATATATATATATATTCGCCGTTTTATCTCTCTTCAAGCAGGTCTTTTGTTGAGACAACAGTTGTGTTTCAATAGTTTTGGCCCCCAGGTATTTTGGTAAACAAATTTTATTGTGTTTTCAATAATTAGTTGTGTTTTTGATAAATATTATTGTGTGTTCATTTCATTATTATACTAGTAAATAAGAACCCTTTAAATGAGTAGGTATTTTGGAGATAAATAACTGTGATAACGATGGATGGAATGATGATCATGATGATGAAGATGTTGAAGATGAAGGCAGCACATCACAAACCCAACAAAATAATAATATGCTTTTAGCTACGGCGACAATAGTTACAGTGACATATGCAACAAATTATTTGATAAAAGAACCATGTAGGACATCTTCTCTAACAGGGTGGAAGTGGATGGTAGAATTACAAGAAGAGAATCAGACAAGAATATTTGAAAATTTTCGAACGGAAAGAGAGGTATTTTATCAATTGTGTGATTTGTTACAGAAAAACTATGGCCTTGAAACTAGATGAAAAGTTTCGGTTCAGAAGCAGGTTGCAATATTTTTGTATATTGTTGGCGGTGACATTTGAAACAAAAATGTCCAAGAAAGATTTCAACATTTCGGAGAGACAATTTCAAAACACTTCAAGAAGGTGTTAAAAGCTGTTACAATGATGTCTATTGATTGGGTAAGGCTTCAACCGAGAAATGATGTGCATCCATATATTAGAAACAACCACAGATACTATCCTCATTTCAAGTTAAATAATTAATTACAAGTGGAACTTGGGTGTTACATATAATTAATGTTGATAGGATATTTCTAATAATGAATAAATATATTTTTATTCTAAATTTTGTAATAGAATTGTATAGGAGCAATTGACAGAACACACATCAAAGCATATATATCTCCAGATAAGCAACCTCGTTTAATAGGTAGAAAGCGATATGCGACTCAAAACATATTGACCGCATGTGACTTTGATATATGTTTCACATTTTGCTTGCTAGGATGGGAAGGAAGTGCACACGATAGTCGGATCTTCTTAGATACAATTAGGAATCCTAGTTATAATTTCTTAAAACCACAAGGAAGTAACTGTTTTATATTTGATTGCTACAGTAGATGCACTGCACTCATATCTTCATATTTATTTTTACATTTATAATTGTTTACTTTAATTTCATTTTGGAATTTTATAATAGATGAGTTTTACTTGGTGGATGCTAGGTATCCAAACATGAAAGGATATCTTGCACCATACAAAGGACAGAGATATATCTAGCTGAATTTGAACATGGTCAACCCCCCCAAAATGCATAAGAAAAATTCAACCAAGCACATTCATCACGTAGAAGTGTAATAGAAAGAACGTTTGGGGTTTGGAAAGCGAGATGGCTAATGATAAAGGATATCCCACCAAACTATAATTAGCCGACCCAAGTCAAACTTGTTTGTGCAACAATGGTAATTCATAATTTCATTCGACGAAGTTAGTTATGTGATATTGCATTTGACTCATATGATAAATTCACGGATTATGTGGCTAATGAAGATGAAGGATCAAGGTCTCAACAAGCACGCCATGTCAATCATGTTGAAGGTGATGACAACGAAATAGAAGTGAGGAGACATAATATTTGAATGTCAATTTGCAGATGAAATTAGAAGTTATCTAATATATAGGAAGTTTTATTTTTAGAAAAAATTACTCATAAATCCCATTTAGAGAAAAGTTATTCCATTTCGTCTTTAGAAGTTTTCTTTCAAACCAATTAGTCCTTTTTATTTTGGGTATGTTATTTCCTTGATTTGAGTGTGATTTTGTTTAGATTTTTTCCGAATGTTGGGTGTGCGTGGGTAAGGTAGGTTTTTACGTTTCTTTTTTTTTTTTTTTTTTTTTTGGGATTTAGTGGAGTGATTTGTAGGTAGATGATGTTACTCCATTTGTGGTGTTATTGGTGTGGTGTTTTATCCTTTTTTTGGTGTTCGTCCCTATTGTAACATTGATATTAATTAACATCCAAACGTAACACTAATGTAACACAAAAAAAAAAATTCCTTACTGTACTTTTTCCAAACGTAACATTCTAATATAACACTCTAAAAAAACTCCTTAGTGTGACACTCTAAAGTAACACACACAAAAAATTCTTATTGTAACACTCAACGTAACACACAAAAAAATTCCTTAATGTAACATTCTAATTTAACACACACAAAAGCTCATTAGTGTAACACTTTAATGTAACATACAAATGTAACACTTTAACATTTTAATGTGACACACAAAAGCTCCTTAGTATAACATTCTAATGTAACACACAAAAAAACTCCTAAGTGTACTTTTTCTAAACGTAACACTTCAATATAACACTCCAAAAAAATTCCTTAGTATAACACTTTAATGTAACACACACAAAAAACTCTTTGGTTTACTTTTCTCAAACGGAACGCTCCAAAGTAACACAAAAAAAAAAAACAAAACAAAACAAAACAAAAGACAAAAAACTTCGCAGTGTACTTTTCCTAAACATAAAAAAATAAAAAATAAATAAAAAAGGAATGTGAGATTCTTCAAACCATTCCAAAAGGAGTACAAATATTCCTTAGTAAGTTTTGAATAAATGTATAATTTCAAACTGTGAGTGTTACGTTTGAAAAAAGTACACTAAGGAGTTTTTTTAGTATTTTTGTGCGTTACATTGGAATATGTTACGTTAGAGTGTTACGTTTGAAATTTCATTAATTGAAGTGTTACGTTTGGAGAAAGTACACTAAGGAATTTTTTTATTTTTATTTTTATTTTTTATTTTACATTGGAGCGATATGTTTGGGAAAAGTATACCAAAGAATTTTTTTTGAGTGTTACATTGTTACGTTTGAAAAAAGTACACCAATGAATTTTTTAGTGTGTTACATTGAAGTGTTACGTTATTGGAGTGTTACATTAGAATGTTAAATTTTTGTTCGTAATGTGGGATTTGTTCTAGAATGAGTGTTACATTGGAGTGTTGCATTTTGAGAAAATCATTTTCATTCCTAAAAATTAAACCTAAGCATGTAAGTAAACGACCCTTTTATGTAAATTTCACTTTAACGAGACCTTTGGATTTATAAGAAAAAAAGATGGGACTAAATCGTTTACAATATCACATTTTGGGATTTATCAGTGCTTCACCCTTATTTTTATTATTTTAATAGTAATTTATTGTATTTTTATTACAATGACATTTTCTTGTTCCTTTGTAAAGTCAATATAAAAATAAAAATAAGAAAAATAAAAAAATTAAGGTAATGTACCGATATAGGTATTAATTATAT